ATAGATTTTTTTTTAAAATAAATTTTCCTTTTTATGACAATTTGAAGTTTTTTCACTAACGTTGTGCATGTCACATTATTAATTTAATTATAAAAAGTGGTATGAAAAGAATTAGAAATAATATTGGTAGAATTAGGGATTCTTTAGCTTGGGTTATTAGTAGTAATAGAAGAAATTCTAAATTTCAAGATGTTTGTAAAAAAATCAAATTTGTCTCCTAGAATTTTTGCATTAGACATGCCTATTAGGTGGAATAGTACTTATTTAATGCTTGATTCATATTTACCTTATGCAAATTTAATTAGTTATTTTGTAGCAAATCATATGAGTCCTCATTATTTGATAGAAATTGATTGACATATAGCTCAAAAATTTTATTCTTTTCTTAAAACATTTTATCTTGCCACTTTAAAACTTTCTAGTGTGTGTTATCCTATTAGTCCATGGGTAATACATACAATTATAAAAATTTCAGATTTATTTGCTTGAAATAGAAACAAAGTTTAGCAGGACCAATAGAGGCAATGGAATTAAAATTTAAAAATATTGGAAATCCATTCCTTTTCTTTTTTGTTTAGCTACCATATTTGATCCTAGGATTAAATTAGCGGGTTTAGAAAATGGTTTAGACACGTTAAGTGAAAATTTACAAGAAAAAGCATATGCCAATCAACTAGGAGAGATAAGACAGTGTCTTGGAAAGGTATATTTGCAATATAAAAGCATGTATGGGAACCAGCAAATAGGCGCAATACCCGAGGAAGTAGTAGTAGAAGACACAAATAAAAACTTCGACTCCTGGAGTGCACTTAATAGGCGGAAGAAGACCCTAATCCAAAGCACAACCTCCTCTTTAAAAGCATCAACAATGAATATAATGTCCTCCATGCAACTGCAGAGTAATGAGCTTCACCAATATTTGGGAACGCCTGACTTGCTACCAGTAGATCCACAATAAAGAACCAACTTTGATGTCTTAGAATATTGGAAAACCAGAAAATATATTTTTCCAGTACTATCAAGACTTGCCCTGGATGTTTTCTTTGTTCTTGTCTCAACCGTCTCATCCGAACAAACATTTAGTGTAAGTGGAAGAATTTTAAATGAAAGGAGGACTAAACTTTCACCAAAATTGATTGAAGTCCTCACATGTCTTCAAGGTTGGGAACGATCGCGCCATCAGGATAATATGAGGTTGTCGACGATACTTTAATAGAATCATTTCAATTTTGTAATTTAGATGATACAGATGAGGAAGGTCCTAAATTAATTGTTTTGTAATTTGTAAATTAACTGTCAATTATTGCACTCTATTTTCCTTACCAAGTTTTTGTCCCAAATGGGTTTTTCTTGGTAAGGTTTTTCACGAGGTAATAATTGTTGTAATTTCTTATTTCTTATTTTATTTTTTTGATAAATGAATAAATCTAATTTTTCTTATATTACAATTTAATTGTATTAAAATTGAATTAATTTTTGAAATGTTAACTAAAAAAAATAATTTAATTGAATTGATATTTGAAAAGTTAACTAAAAAAAATTACACAAAGAAAAAACATTAAAAAATAAAAATAAAAATTTGTTTCGGCCCGCACAAAAACCCAGTGGGTTAGGGTTGGCAGACTAGGCTGGGCTGAACCTTTTGGACAAAGAGGCAGGCCGGGTTATGCCCGACCCGTTATTTGGCCTAACCCGCCACGAGTCGGGCCGGGCAGGCCACTTTTCCACCTTTATTTGGTACTAGTTGTTCCTCTTCTGACAATGAGTGTTCATTACATTTGAACGGCCGTTCATATATCAAGAATGGTCATTCCTTTCTTGATCATCAGATTTCCAAAAATTCAAGGGACGTGAACAACTTGTTTGAATGATGTCTTTCCTTCTAGATTGGCTTGGTCATATTGAAGAACGGTTGTTCTTCAATCGAGAACAGGCATTTGTATCTAACACTTTGATTTTTGCTTCAGATCTTCAAAGTGTGCCATTTTGGACAGATCCACGAATAGCCTAATGGAATGGTGCCGTTCTTGATGGAACGGCTAGGAGAGCAGTCATTTGTTGCCATGGATGGTCGTTTCGCTTTAATTCTTCAAGATTTATCAGCCTTTAAATATACTTCATATTTGTAGAATAGCTTGATGGAACGGGCGTTCATGATGGACCGGCTTGACTAGAAATTGTGCTAATTTGGGCAAAGCCATGAGCAACTAGAGGAAACGAGGTTGTTCAAGTGGAATGGTCTTAATATGAAATGGAGAGGGCGTTCCTTTAACGTAAATGGTCGTTCCTACCTGGAAATCTGTATTTTCATTTTATAGTTATGACTTGCATTATGCCTTTGCAATTTGTTAGTTCTTGAAACACACTTTTGATTAGCTTTGGCACATAAAAAACATAAGGGTTCAACATATTTGTTTGACATCAATCTCTCGATTTTGCTGGAGTTCATAAGTGTAAAAGAATTTCGATGAAATGTGTTTAGCTTTGTCGCCTTTGATATATCCACCTCTAACTTGAGCAATACATGTTGTATTGTCTTCATTTGTAATTGTAGGAGTATCCGAGGTACATGGTAACTTACTAGTATTCTCAATATGATGGACGATAGATCTTAACCATACATATTCTCAGTTGGCTTCATGAAGCGCAAGAATCTCAGAGTGATTGGAAGAAGTGGCAACCAATGTTTTTTTTTTTTTTTTCTAGAGTTCCATGATATTTTAGTGCCATTGTAAGTAAAAATATATCTCATGTACGAGCGAGCTTTATGGGGATCAGAAAGGTACCCAACATCTGTATAGCCAACTAATTTCTAATCATTAACAGATTTCTTTGGATAAACTAATCTCAAGTCTTTTGTTCCACTTAAGTAATGAAAGATATGTTTGATCGCATTCCAATGTCTGCGAGTTGGTGTAGAACTAAATATTGCCAATAGATTTACTAGCTATAAATGTTATGGCTGGTCTCGTATATTGTGTCAAATATAATAATACATCTATTGCATTTAGATACGATATTTCAAGACTAACTATCATTTTGTCGTCTTCTTTAGGATCAAAAGACCGAACAACCATTAAGGTACTCAATCGGTGAGCTTTATAAAAGTCAAAAGAAAAAAGAAAAACTTAAAACCCATATTTATCTTCTTCATCTAAACTCTAACAAAGCCCATGAAACCACCACCATAAAAACCTATCAAGCCATCATTTCATTCCATCGCCAACAAAGCCTTTGCCTCACTCCTAGGGATGGGCACATAGCCCGGCCCCGCGGGGATCTGCCCCACCCAAAATGGGGCAGATTTTCCCCGAATTTTTCGGGATTCGGGCTGGGCTAGGGCCCAAAATTGCCCCCTGAAATTCGAGGACGGGTCGGGGCTGGGATTGGCTTTGCCCCGCCCCGCCCCATCCCCGGCCCGTATATTATATATATATCAATTTTAATTTTAATAATTGAAAATCAATCATATATATCTATAATAATTTTACTATTTGAAAATCAATTATACATTATACAATAACAAATTATAATTGTGTTACTTTAGTATGATGGTTTTTATATTTAATATGTACATTATAGATTTAATTTTTTTTTTTTTTGATGATATGGTCTTTACGTTAATATGTATATTATATATTTAATTTCTTTTTTGGTTGATATATATAATTGGGAGAAAATAATAATAAAAGTATAAATTAAGGAAAAGAAAAAAAACCCCAAACGGGGAATTCGGGGATTCCCCAAATTCCCCGTTTGGGGAACAGGCTTTTTTTGGGGATTCCCCAAATTCCCTGAACGAGCTTCGGGCCGGGATCGGGGAATCCCCTTGGGCTTTCGGGTCGGGGCCGGAGACAGTGGTCCCCGGCCTCGCCCTGACTCGTGCCCATCCCTACTCACTCCATTGTTGAAATAGTTGTAACCCTCCACCGACACCTCAAGGTCATGACTCGTGACCTCAAATGAAGGCAACAAAATGCATCAGATGGCACCTAGTAACGGCTTGCAACCTCATCAAATGCTGCCTGGTAGCGGCTTGCGGCCGTGCTCGGCCACTGTTTTTTATTTTTCATCCTCTTTAATCTTTGCTCACCTTTATTGCTCATGGATTCCTCAATCATCAATTGATTTGGGTTGTATCGATTGGTTGATCTGTATTTATTATATTGGTGGATTTGAAATTGGTGTTGTTATATTGCAAATGTTTTTGATATGGCTATCAATTCAAATTTAGCCATCGAAGGTTTGGTGTTAGTTGAATTGGCTGACGATCGATAGGGATTTCTTTTTGGTTTATTTCTGAAGTTGGTTGGTTGATCTCTTGGGTCTTTGGCTCCGTTTTAAGGTTTATTGATTTTTTTTTCCTTTTTATTTTCTTGTAGTTGGCCCCTCAAGGTTTCATAATTGTTAGACCCATACACATAAAGACAAAATAAATAAGGTTAATAAACTTAATATCTATTTTTACTCGATTTCTGATCGAACATTTAACGAGAGTTCAGACAGCGTCACAGTTTTGATCCTCATTTGACGAACTTTTGAAACTATGAGGGGCACTTTCCTCACAAAATAAGACTCTTTTCAAAACTATGGGGGCAAATAATTTTTTCTCGTTTTAGTTATAAATTTATAATAAAATTTGATAATTGACAAAATTTAAACTTTTCTTTTTGTTAATTTATATATTTGATAGTCAAATTAAAATAATACAAAAAATCATAATTAGTATAAATCAGATGCAAACCGTGACTCTCCAATCCCTTCATTAACTTGTCAAGAGTTTTGTGTTACAAGGTTTTAAACCATGAAAACTGCAAAGACAAAATAATTGAGGTGTTACTGCTATCAACAAGATTCGTTTTTCCCGGGCCTTTATACATTTTAGCTTGTCATCACTCGAGCGACATAGGCCTTCAAAATCTGAGCCCTTAAATCATCCAAAGGATGAAGGCCCGGCCTCTCATTAAGATGTATAATTTATATCACAAAAGCAACGGAAAAACCAGCAAAACTTCATCAAATAACAGATTGATTGTCAATTATAACAAATGATCGGTTCAAGAGAAACAAAAAAGAAACGATAACATAAACAGTTTAAAACTTAATTGACAAAACGATTCAAACGAAAGCTCCTCGCCCAAGCTTTTATTACACTAACCTCATAATATGAAAAGAAAAAAGAAAACCCCTAAAACTATGCCTGAGAATGGGACAAAGCTTAAAGTTATACCGCCAGTCACACTCTTATATAAAACACATGGCCAGAAGTCTCAACTTCTTCGTTTAGTATTTGTAGTCCTTGACATGGAGAGACTCAGCAGCGCCCTCACCAAGCTTAGCATCGCCCTTGTAAGTACCAAGGGTGGCCTCTGAGTTGGCCTTGGCCCTAGTGAGGAATGCAGCCTGAGCCTTCCGCACGTTCTCCTTCTTTCCTCCCCATGCCTTAAGAGTGCTCTGCTGAAGTGCACGTCCAAAGGAGAATGAAAGTGACCATGGCTTCTTCCCCTTGAGTTTGTTCATGGCATTGAGGTTGAGGGTAGCTTCCTCCTCACTCTGACCACCAGACAAGAACACAATTGCAGGAACTGCTGCAGGCACAGTGCGCTGCAAAGCACGCACAGTGTACTCAGCGATCACCTCTGGTGCAACCTTGGGGGAATCAGATCCAGGGGTAACCATGTTGGGCTTCAAGAGGGTACCTTCAAGCATAACATGGTGGTCGTTCAAAGCCTTGTAGCATGCAGCAAGAACAAGCTCAGTTACGGCAGCACACTTGTTGATATCATGGGAACCATCAACAAGGATCTCAGGCTCAACAATGGGGACAAGACCATTCTCCTGGCAGATGCTGGCGTATCTAGCCAAACCATAGGCATTCTCGTGGATGGCCAACTCAGAAGGCTCATTTGGACCAATCTTTAAAACCGCACGCCATTTAGCAAAGCGAGCACCAGCTTCATAGTACTTGGCACACCGCTTACCAAGGTCATCAAAGCCCTGGGTGGTAGTTTCACCATTGGTTCCAGCAAGTTCAACAGTACCCTTATCAACCTTGATACCTGGGAGGACTCCACCTTCCTTCAAGACATCAACGAAGGGCTTGCCTGCAAAATCACACCCATCATTAAAGAATGAAAACTCACAAAATAAACTCAGAAAATAATGATATCAAAGAGTTCGGACACCATACCATCAGCAGTCTTCTGATAGAGGGTCTCCTCGAAGAGAATGACTCCACTGAGGTACTGAAGGGCACCGGGAGTGCAGAAAAGAAGCTCACGGAGATCACGCCTATTTGTTTCATTGTTCTCAACGTTAATGCTGGAGAGACGCTTTCCGATTGTGCCGGTTGACTCATCGGCAGCAAGAATACCCTTTCCTGGGGTGCCAATGTAGGCTGCGTTTTTAGCCAGCTCCTCTGCATTATATCAAAAATAATTTATCAGATTATTAGAAGAAATTTTGTACTCAATAAAGTGCCAAAGGGCAGTCAATTCAGTTTTAGCGCTCGATCATCAGTCTCTAAGCCACAAATAACTTCATTGTTAAAGAATCAACAGCATTGTAGCATAAACACGCAAATTTAAATCTAAGTTAATTGACCCCTAAACAAATAATTAAAGTAAATTAGATCTAAAAACGTGAAAGAAATATTAATTGCCTCAATACATTACAAGATTCAAACTTTATGTATTGAGAACACAAACAACATGCTTCGAAAGATTCACTCAGTCACACATATCAGTTGAATTTAAAATTCCTTTAACTTCTATTTATGTATCTATTGCAAACTACGGAAATATAAATATAATTTTAAAACCTAAAAGAATCATAAAGTATATTTTTAGGTGACGAAGCATACAAATTATTTATATATAAGAATATTACTTTTAAGATCTATGCCAACGTATCCGTAGAACATTAGTATAACACTGAAAAACACAAATTCATTACTTTATAATTAGTGAATAGAATCTGATATTGATCTATATATATTTAATATATAAAAATAGAACAAATCTCAGAATTAATAACGATCGGTAAAAAAATAGATCTAAACCTAAGATTACGAAAAAAAGGGACAATCAGAACGAACCTAAAACACTAGCTAATAGATCAAACAAATCAAACACGATTGAATGGATAAAACGACATGAAAAAAATACTAAACGATCAAAGTAAATCTCAAATAGAATCAGATCTTAATCATATAGATTAAACAACACATAGATCTACAGAAGAAAGCGCAAAAGAGATTAATCCATTCAACAAAAAGAATACGATAGATTGATTAATAAAAGCAATAGAAAACGACGATGTAGAGAGAAGAGAGAATAAATTACCGGCGTATTTGCTCTTGAAGCAAGACATGATGTTGGACTGGATTTGAGAGATTTGGAGAAGATTGAGAAGATTTGAGAAGAGTGAGTGAGAAGATGAAAGAGTTAAGGGGTTTATAATAGAAAAGATTAGGTTAGAAAGAGGGAGAGAGGAAAGAGATGCATCGAGATTGTCGCTTCCCACTTGTCTTTTTTACCACGTAACGGCGTCATGCGGTTGGATGGGTTTCTTCTTTCATTTTTACTCTTCTGTCCCTTGCGCCCCGTTTCAACCATTCCTTTGTTTTTGTTTTAAATTACAATTCCTATTCAAATTTTTTTTTTTATTTAATTTCATTGTAAGACTTTTATTCCTAATCATAAATTGAAACAACGACTCCATTCATTAACGAGGCTCCGTTTGATACAACTAATTCGAGTAAATTTTTTGAAAAAGAGTTTTCATAAGATGGACCTTATAAATATAGATTTTATGAAAAAATTATTAGTGGTTTAGTTAAAAAAAAAAAAATTAATATTGATTTACCAAAAAAGATTTTTTAATATACTATAATAATCCAATCAAATTTATAAAATAAAATAAGAATATTTTCCAAATTTTCACACTTTTAAATAAGCTCAAAATTAATTTATGGGAGAAAGCTCAATTAAACTCAAATATAACTATTTTAAAATTCTATAAACACTTTTAATATACAACTAAACAATGTAAAAATATTTCAAAACCAAATAGGGTCGGAATCAATTAATTCAAGTTCTCAATTTATCCAAATTATATCAAAATCAATATTAATGATTTAATTGAATTATTAAAGATTAATCAATTTATTGAAAATATTATTAAGTTTGAGTAACGGGACTTTGGGAGCAAGCATAGGTATTAACGGAAGGGTAAAAAGGTAAAAACATAATAAAAAGGAAAGTATGTACTTTATAAAAGTTGTCAAAAGAACTTACCAAAAAATATAAAAGTGTGTCAAAACTCAAAACAAGGGCCGTGAAAATGTGGGCAGGAATAGTTAAAAAGAAATACAACCAACCAAAAACCAAATCCTGTGGGAGCGGGACTGAAAGAAGCAGCAAGAACAGTGAGCCAAACCAAAGCAGGTTTCATTGAGACCTTTAGGTTTAGCAGCATTTCTCGTTTAACTTCTGGTTCCCCAACTTGCCACCTGCCTTTCTTTTTCATGCTTAACCTTTTTTTAAGCAAATTACAAAAATAACACTCTATTTTCTTAGTATTAAATAATTAAATATAATTATTTAACCACTTATTTGTTATATCAAGGTTGATGTTTATTATTTGGGATATTATTTGAACATATTTTCCCTCTTTTTTCATTTAAAAACATGTTACTGAATATATTGATGCATTCTGAATTTTAAATTTTGTTTCCTTTTTTTTTTTTATAATAAGTTTATGAATTGCATATGACTCATTTCTCACTACTAGTTAAATACTTAATTATTTATGTGGCATGGTTTGTGACGCTTTGTTGCATGTTTAAGGTTTATAATTTATTTAAGCAAAGTCTTTGTTTACTTCTAGAAGCATGAAATTAATTATTCCACGTGTTGGTCACCAGAAAACCGGCACTTATAATATTTACTAGCCTAATAATTTTCCATTTATTTATAATTTTACTATTTCTCAGTTTTATGTTGTTTTATTACCAAATAATTACTATATATTAAATCTCTGCCATAACCCTATAAATAGTATCGATAGTAGTTGATGGTGGAAATGTTGAATTTTGTGATAAAATAAACTGACTAATTTAAAATTTTGGTTTTATAATTAAATGCATAGTCAAATTTTTATTAATGAAATGTGATGAGTGAGATGCATGCTTTTAATGTTGGTTTTCCTTTCACCGACCCATTTGCATGGGGGTATACTTATAAGTCACATAATTATTGTAGACGTAAAAATCTACCTATATGGAAGGAGAGTCTGATCCTGTGAGGTTGAGGCCACTACGCATCTGCTGCACCTGCATACGTAGAGAACATGCGTGAAGCGAACGGGAAACAGGGTGGTTTTTGCCATAGGCACCTTGACGCTCAAGTCACAAGGTTGAGAAGGCTAATATAGTGAGGGAGGGAGTAGAGATTACCGAAGTCTAGTCGGAGACTGTGCCTACGGTGATGATGTAAAACTCTCGAGTAGGAGCTTCGGGTGTAAGGTGTAATGTAATGTCCTTTGTGAGAGGGCTGGCCTCTGCTTATTTAGTGACTGTCTGATCTCCCAATCTTGGTAGAAGTAGGAGTTTTAATATGACTCTGATGCAAACCCTAGAAGAATTAGGGCCGTGGTAAGCTGTCTTACCAGTGTCCGAATAGGAAGGTGATTCTGATTAGGAGAGTAACTTCGAGCAAGAAAGTGATCAGGAATAGGAAGGTGATCTTGAACGGGAGATTGATCAGGAGTAGGAAAGTATCCTGAGGGGGCTATGGGCTCTGGATTCGCCCATGGACTTTAGGAAATGGACTGGGATTAGGAGGCTCGTGCCCACGTGTATTGGCCCGGCTATACCTTGTGCCAAATGGGCCTAATCCGGTTGAGTCATATCGGGATTGGGTCTGGCTTCTTCTTCAGTGTCGGGCCTGTTTTCCTATTTGGACCAAGGACGATTTTTGGCCCTAACAATTATCTAGCACCAAACCATCTTTCACATTTTTAAAATAGTAGTGTCTCACCTGAAACCACACTGTCACACACTCACTCTTCTCATGCCCTTTTTTATGATTATGATTATTATTATTATTTTCTTTTTGGGTATTCTGTCCATTGTCACGCCAAACCTATGTATAGTTCTTTTAATAATGTGGTGACTTCCATCCAACCAAGTTTGTAGAATTGTTTGGAAACTAAATTTCTTAGAGTTATCAACTAACCCAAATTCTTAAACCAATAAAAGAATTAACAATAATACTAACTCTAAGAATTGATTTGGAGGTAAAGAAAGATTACTCTCTTTATTGACTTTTTGAGTTCAAACCTTGGGATCACCTATCATATTTGTGATTTATCTTAGAACATTAAATAAAAATATACTCTTATTTATACAAAATGACATAACAATGTGTAGACGTAAAAATCTACCTGTACGGAAGGGGGGTCTGATACCGTGAGGTTAAGTCCACTAGCGATCCGCTGCACTTGCACACATAGATAAACAAGCATGAAGCGAACGGAAAATACCGGGGTGGTATTTGTTGTAGGCACTCCGACGGTCAAGTCAGCAAGGCTAAAAGAGGTTAGTATAGTGAGGGCTAGGGAGTAGAGAGGTTACCGGAAGTCTAGTCGGGGACTGTGACTACGGCAGTGATATGTAACTCTCAAGTAGGAGCTTGAGGTGAGAAGGTGTAATGTAATGTAATGTCCCTTGTAAGAGGACTGTCCTCTGCTTATATAGTGACTGTCTGGTCTCCCAGTCCTGGTGGGAGTAGGAGTCCTAGTGTGACTCTGAAACAAACCCTAGAGGAATTAGGGCGGTGGTGAGCTGTCTTACCAGTGTTCGAATAAGAAGGTGATCCCGAACAGGAAAGTAACCTCGAGTAGGAAAGTGACCTGAACAGGAAGGTGACTTCGAATAGGAGACTGATCTGGAATAGGAAAGTGATATGTGGGTGCCGTGGGCTCTGCACTTGCTCATAGGTCCAGGAAGTGAATTGGGATTTGGAGGTCCAGACCCGATGGTTTGGGCCGACTGTATCTCGTATCAAATGGGCCTAATTCGGATGGGACCGCATCGGGATTGGGCCTAGTCTCTTCCTCATTCAGTCCCGTTCTCCTATTTGGGCCAAGGACGATTTTTGGCCCTAACACAATACTGTTGCATTGATATCAACACAAGATTTTGATATTAGAATTAGGGCATTTATCCAAAAAATAAATAAATAAATAACAAAAAAAAATCCTTTAAAAGATAGGACTTCATGATATTTAATTTATCAATACAACATTTTGATATTAGAATGTTATAAAAGTGAAGAAATTATAAAGAATTGAATACCTAAAAAAACAAAAAAAGTAAACGTTACCCATCTGTTATGTAGTAACGGTTGGAAGTGTTAAGTAGAGGAATGGAGCTGGCGTTTGTTGACCAGCAAGAGTTGGTGGATGTATTAATGGCAACTGAAGTTGTAAAATAATTTCAGAAAATCAATATTCAAATTACATCTAACACAGTCAGCCTCCACCCAACATGAAGCGTGGATCCAACGCAAATTAAAAATATTGGAATAAAGAATAATTTTACAAATATATCATTCTCATACAATATTTCTCATACAACATTATATAGTAAAATATGATTGGGTAAAACTTTAATTTTAACTTTAAATTAACCAATCATATCTTGTCACATAATATTGTATGAGAAATGTTATATGAAAATGATGTATGTGTAGTATTATTCTGGAATAAAACAATTTTCAAAATCAAGCAGCATTAGATCCCGCAAGATGGTCCCCTTAATATTTCATTTTTATATATAATTTAAATCTTTATTAATTTAATTCGTCTTTGATACCATCACCATGTGACTCATAACCTATCATCATGATAAGTGATAAATCTCCCAACAACAAAAAAGGCCTGCTTTCATGCATGTGAGTAAGATTAATTAATTAAATTTGTGTAGCATTAATTAAATTTCTATTTTCGTAATGAATAAATGACGCTTGCTCTTCTGAAAGAGACTGCAAGAACGGAAGAATTTGGTGGCGGCATGTTTGGTTAGGTGAGTAAAAGCAACATTCTGAATTTCTATTGGGTGAAGGCATCGTTGTATGGAGCGACGTTTCTTCAGCTAAATACTAACTTAGGTGGAAGTTTCAAGACTTGATCCTCAGAAAAATGTATTTCTTGAAAACAATGGGAAACCCCATTTTGATGGTTTATAATATTGTGGGAAGGTTTGCATTGCTAGTTCACTAATTCTAGGGTCAATATAATAATTAAATCCTTTGAATGAAGGAACAAAATTAAGTTACATTTGTTTGTAAATAGGGTTTTCAGGTTATAGCATTACACAATTTAATTACAAGATTCAATGTTTAACATGTATATATATAGGGATCACAGGATCGTTGCACACAAAGAGGAGATATGCAGAGATTAAATAAATACTTAAATAAACATTAACTTAAATAA